AAATGGGAAGAAGACATGAACAGACACTTCTCCAAAGAAGACATACAAATGGCTAACAGACACATGAAAAATGTTCATCATCATTAGCCATCAGGGAGATTCAAATCAAAACCACATTGAGATACCAGCTTACACCAATTAGAATGGCCAAAATTAACAAGACAGTAAACAACAAGTGTTGGAGAAGATGTGGAGAAAGGGGAATCCTCTTACACTGCTGGTGGGAATGCAAGTTGGTGCAGCCACTTTGGAAAACTGTGGAGATTCCTTAAGAAATTAAAAATAAAGCTACCTTATGACCCTGCAATTGCACTACTGGGTATTTACCCCAGAGATACAGATGTAGTGAAAAGAAGGGCCATCTGTACCCCAGCGTTCATAGCAGCAATGGCCACAGTGGAAAGAACCAAGATGCCCTTCAACAGATGAATGGATAAAGATGATATGGTCCATATATTCAATGGAGTATTATGCCTCCATCAGAAAGGATGAATACCCAACTTTCATATCAACATGGACAGGATTAGAGGAGATCATCCTGAGTGAAATAAGTCAAGCAGACAGCATCAATTATCATATGGTTTCACTTACTTATGGAGCATAAAGAATATCACCGAGGACATTGGGAGAAGGGAAGGAAAAGTGAGTTGGGGGAAATTGGAGGCGGAGACAAACCATGAGAGACTGTGGACTCTGAGAAAGAAACAGGGTTTGGGAAGGGAGGGGAGTGGGGGGTTGGGTGAGCCTGGTAGTGGGTTAATTAAGGAGGGCACGTATTGCATGGAGCACGGGGAGTGGTGCATAAACAATGAATCTTGGAAAACTGAAAAAATTAAATTAAATTTAAAAAAAAATGTGTGAGAGTAGCAGTTAGTATTTGACACTCAGATATCAAAACTGACAGAGCAGGCACAACATCCCTCCTGGGGAGTGCTTCAGGAAGACAGCATTTAAACTCTGAGGGACCAAGATGTTCTAACTGGACCCACAAGTAAGTTACCAGGGGTGAGACCAGCAAAGACAGACCCCAGCCTCCATGAACAAATGACCATCTTACCTCCTTCTGCCTTCATCTGTGAAGAAATTTTCTTCTCAAACAAAAAATTAAAAAGTCCTGAAAAACGAGTCCTTTGAAGTCCCAACCTGAGCAGCTGCTAAGTTTTCATAGCACTCTAGGCATGAAAATCTACTAAATGTTAACAATGACACTAAACCTGCTTGGGTGGTCTACGTGGGCCCACAGGATCGCTCCTCTCCCAAAGCAAGGAGCACAACAAGAACACCCTGCTCTCCCAGATTGGGAAATCTCTGCAGCCTCACCCTCCTGGGCCTCTGCATAAATGGAAAGGGTCTGTGTCTTCGGGAAGAACCTCAGCTGGAGGTCCTAGGAGGCAGCCCCCACCGCTCTGGGACTTGGGCCGGCCTGGCCACTCGTCGCGTGGGACCTGCTCCCGCTAGGCTCACAAAGCTTCTTCCTTCGAGTCCTAGCCTCGCCTTAGCTGGAACAAGTCACGATGGCAATGGCCACCAGCGTAAGGTCACAGGCACTGGCCCAAGAACCCATCAACAGGACGGGGAAGCCAGGCAGCCGCCCTGCTTCCTGCACTATACGCCACCAGGAGGGTCTCTCTGTTCACTCCTTTGGCCAGACCGAGGTGGCGGCGGCGGCGGCACCAGCACCACTTTTCCGCCAGGTGGCGCCGAGTCCGTCGGCGCTAGAAGCAAAGTGGTGGTGCAGAACAGGGCCGCTGGGCCTTAGTCCAGCACCACGAGGACCGCCGGTGAGCTGTGGGGACAACCGGCACTGAAGAGACAGCTCACCCGTCGCCGGGCGCAGTTCTAGCACCCTGAGGCCGCAGTCGCTGCGGAGAAGTGTGCAGGTTAACTCGGCATTGGGGCCTTCGTCTTTAGTCGGATCACCAGGTAGCCCAGGGGCGCGCCCTGGGGCAGAGGCGGCTGGGCTGCGCCACTGAAGAGTGGTAGTGTGACCAGTCCAGGTACGTGGTCGTTCTGGTCCTCCACATGCAGCCACACCACGGCCCGGCCCCGGGGCGGCTGAGAGCCGCCGTCAAGTACTTCCAGCCCCAGAGGCAGCTCAGCCAGTACACCGCGGTCAAAGCACCATCATGCGCGGAGCTCCCCAGTTGCTGGGGGGGGGGGGATCCACCGAGACATAGGGCGCGATCCACTTCTGCCTCCAGCAACCGGTAGGTGACCTGCCCGTTGCGGCCCAGGTCGGGGTCCCGGGCCGCCATCGTGGCCAAGTAAGCGCCGGAAGGTTTGTTCTCCCGCACCGACACCTCGTAGACCGGCCGTGTGAAGAGTGGTGCGTTGTCGTTCTCATCACTCACGCGAACAGTGTAGGGCCGCACGGTGCGTAGCGGGGGTGCGCCGCGGTCCTCGGCCACCAGCGTCAGGTTGTACTCGGCAATGCGCTCGCAGTCCAGCGACGCCACAGTCACCACCAGGTAGCTGCCCGCGTAGGCCGGCTGCGGCCGGAAGTGCTCGTGCCCGTAGAGGGCGCAGCGCACCTGCCCGTTGGCACCCGAGTCTCTGTCCGAGGTGCTGACCAGCGCCACTAGGCTCTCGCGCGCCGCCCCCTCTGGCACCAGAGAGACGGCGCCGGCCTTGGGCGTACCGGGCCGGGTCGGCGAGGTCGGGTCCGCACCCCCCGAGAGCGGCAGCGACGGCGGCGAAGGGAGAGGCGTCAGGTGCGCCCGGGGCGGCCAGCGCGGTGATGGTGATGTCCGGAGCGTTGTCATTGACGTCGCGGATGCGCACGATGACCTTGCAGGTGGAGGCCCGGGGCCCGGGACCACGGTCCTGGGCCCGCACGTCCAGCTCATAGGTGTCCTGGCGCTCGTAGTCCACCGGTCTTGCCAGGGTGAGGCGGCCTGAGCGCGGCTCCAGACGGAAGAGGCGGCGCGCCTTGGGCGGGGTGTGGACACCAAAGGCGAACACCACGTCGCCGTTGGGACCCTCGTCGGGGTCCGTTGCGTCCAGGTGGGGGTCGGCTGCGTCCGTGAGAGACCTCGTCGGGGTCGGCTGCGTCCAGGTCGAGCAGCAGAGAGCCCATAGGAGTGTCCTCTGCCAGCTCCACTTCGGCCACTGCGCCCTGCAGGAAGGCCCGGCTGTGGTCGTTGGCGTCCAGCACTCGCACACTGAGGGCGGCCGTGGCGCAGCGCGGCAGGCGGCCGCCTGTCCTGGGCCACCAGCTCCAGACTGTAGGCGGCCTGGCCCTCGCGGTCCAGCTCCTGGAGCAGCACCAGGTCAGCGCACTGGACACCGTCCGCACGCGTCTGCAGTTCTACGCGGAAACGGCTGTGAGGCTCCGCCAGGCGCACACTCTGCAGCGGGTTGGCCCCCACGTCCTCATCCACAGGAACCTCCAAGGGGATGCGCATGCCCACGGCTGCGCCCTCGCACACCTCCATGGGGATCTGGGCCCCGGGGTAAGCGTGGCGCGTGATCATTGATGTTCCTCACTTCCACTTCCACGTGCACCAGCCGGAACTTCTCCTGTGAGAAGCTGATCAGGTCAAAGGCCAGCATGCACTGTGTTGCTTGGCCACATTGCGGCGCGTGGTCCGGGCCTGCATCCCCGAGGGTCAGCTCCCCATCCCCCTTGCACACTGCAAAGAGTGAGTTGTTGAACTTCATCAGGCGGAATTGGTGTGGTATCTCGATCTGGTAATTACACAGGACACCGTCAGACAACACCAATATCGGAGCCATAGGCTTCCTCCTCATAGGTGTGGAAATTGATGGTTTTGGTGCAAGACCAGGGCACCAGCTGCAGCCACAGAACTTGCAAGAATTCCAGTCTGGCCCAGCATAATGTGCCAGAGGGAAATCTGAGCCTCCAGCAAGACCTCTTTGTTCCTCAAAGAGAAAAAAGCCAATCAGAGGCTCTGCGCTGCCCAAGACTTCGAGACTCTCATGCCCTCCTGAGTAGGCAGACAGGAGACACTTGCCCTCCTAAATACATCTGATCTCTAAACCCTCTGTGCTGTGTAATCGCTTTTCTGAGCTCCAGGCCTAAGCTTGCTTCTTCTGAACCCTATTGGAGAGGTTACATAGAGAAGAATGTGCAAATAAGCATCCATCTGGGCCAATCCGCAGAGTCTCCGGGTCTTGGGCCATGTTGTTCTCCTAAGAGTTCACAAAAGAGGTCCCCATTTTGCCTGGGGAGCTGAACAGGGGCCAAAGGAGTTCAAGAAGTCATTAAGATCCCTATAGAAGTTTCCACTGTAAGAATGCATCCCGCTTGCTTTTCCACTGTGCTTGATTTACACTTTGATGGTAGAAGCAGGGAATCTGCAGCTTCTGTGTCCCTTCTTAAACACATTTACATATTCCTCAGACAGAGATACATTACTCTTCTCTACCATTTTTAAACCAACTTTTATATGCATATTTTGCTACCCACAGTTATCCATCTATGTTGGGGTATCATTTCCTGAATTGAAAGATTCTGGGGGAACAGCTTCTCCAGAGTCAGTCAGTGTCTAATCAGGGAAGAACTGTTTTCCAAAGTAATCATTTCTAAATAGCTTTTCTGTAGCAAAGAAACCATTAATGATGAAATTTCAGCCCCTTCATCTCCTTTTATGTCAGTAATTACTTACATGTGAGGAACCAGAGTCAGGGAGGTTTGTCAACTACAAACCACTGTAAGGGAGAGTTAAGGGTAGGAAAAAGATTTAGCGAAACATGCTGCAGTCAGTCTTGTTAGAAAATTGCTATACACCATTTATTTTTAAAAAGCCCTTGGCTGAAGAAAACCATGGGTGGCCTGATAGGCTGAAGGCTAAAGAAACATTAAACCATCTGTCTAAAGCACAATAAATAGTCTTGTGTTAAGTTCTCTTTATGTGTGAAATGTTCTAAATGCTAAACGGTCCCCATGTTAATGATGACATTGTTCCTCGTGCCATGGAGTCATCATCAGTGCAATGTACTTTAATTAGTCATCTTGAATAAAATCAGTGAGCAGACTGAGTTATTAATATGCCCCAGCTATTCTTGGCTCCTCCATGATCTGTAATGTTATTGATTCCTGCAGGGACATGTCAGTAAATGAATATTTTTGCTTTCACTCTTAGGAGGGAGTTGCATCTATTTTAGCACTAGGATCTATGAATCCAGTTCTGAAACTGAGCCACCTCTGATGAGATAATTAATTAGCAGTGATTTTAATTTAGTGGAGCATTCCTCAATGACTCTAATTATAAGTACCAATAACCCGATGTCGGAGAAGTTTGCAGTGGGAAGCATGAATTGATTTGGGTTGGGGATTCTGAGATCCTAAAAGGAGAAATTACTTCATATTGTTTACTTTGGACTTGTCATTTTGCCTGAAGAGGCATCAGTCTAAGGGAGGGAACAACTCTACTACAGTTCAGCTGGATCACATTCCTTTGAAGCCAGTATCCTCACTGGCATAAAGACAGTAGCTTTCTTCCTTGGAAGTGGCTATCCTGAAGAAGCACCTAGTTATTCAGCCTCTGGGACTCAAGGAAAACAAGAGGAACTGACCCTCCATCCAACTTCTGAATTCCTAATTGTCCCCTTAACTGAAGCATGAAAACTGATTCAGCCGTTGTCTTTTAACCCACTGAACCACCCAGGCGCCCTCAGCCGTTGTCTTTTAAAAGGCACATGCTTCCACGCACATCAGCCAGGAGAGGGACCCATTTAACCATAGTCCGAGTCTCATTTCTTCCTCTTCTCCCTCATCTCGAGCAATCCCTGCCAGGCTTGGCCTCTGCCAGTCTTCAGCATTATTGTTGCTATTCATGACAAGCAAAACTGCTCAGCACACTGAAAATGAAGAATAGTCTTGACTCTATCTACGGAACATCAAAAGATCCAGATAAAATATGAAAAAGGCAAGCAATCAAACACATTACCTCCACAATGCTAAACATCTGGACACTTTATGTTTGGAAACATCCAGCTATGATGTTTAAATGCTTGATTGCATTTTTCCTCACTTTTCCTCCAGCTGTTTGGCAGCGCAAAGACCATCCACGATAAGGAATATGCTATATTGTTAGTGATTCATTATTAACATTAACATTGTTTTTCTAGTAAACAACCACCTTATTATTACGCTGCTTTATGAAGGAAGGACAGCTGGAGTTTCAGGAAAGAGACATTTTCTGAGGCAAAAATCAGTTCTGTGCCAGCAAAGTGACAAGCTGAATAATATAGAAACTGTCTGATCTGTCCCCCTAGGGATGTGTCATCGGGAAGCTATGTTTACAGCCCGGAGCTGCTTGTGCTCTCATGTTCCATTCTGTTGGCTCTGTTAGATAAAAATCTGTCTCAATATTAAAAGCATTGTGGCAGAAATTTGGTTTATGTTTCTTGTTTTCCCATTTGCCAGGATATTGCCAAGAAGTCCATAAAATGGAGTTTTGATCTCTGTTGGTGTCCAACATAAAGCAAAACAAACAATGGGAGCAGAGGACTACCACCACCACAGGAAGACCAAATTGTGAATAAAACAGCAATTTGGTCCTCTTGCTCAGTTTGGTTTTAAAAGGGGTGAGGGGGCAGGATTTGGGTGAACTCCCCACAGTTCACTTCTGTTTCTAAAAAAAATACCAATATACTAGCATGCTCCCCACAATGCCAGGACACCAGAACTGTAAAATAGTATTTGCATTCTAATCATTTCAAGAAAAGATTTTCTGTTTTGCTGAGCACGCAACACCTTAGTGTGTCCCTTTACACACTAAAGCACACTGTACATAAACTAAAGTCATTTTCATCATAAACACAAGGAAATAAAATGGTCTCCTAATTCAGAATGGTGTATGTGCCTTTGCATATTTCCTCTTTCCTATTACACAAAACTAATAACGTATGTTGGGGGGGAGGGGAATGAAGCCCCAGGAAAGTCCCTAATGTGCAGATTTCATTAGACCATGGTATCCAGGCATCAGAATAAGCAGCAACTCTCACAGGACCTTGAACTAATACTGTCCTGGCTCAGAAACAGTTTTTGTGTCATTTAGAACAAATCACTCTATGTCATATACTGAGAATTATCTTCATTTCTCAACTGAACAAACATCCTATAGATGAATGAGCAAAATATTATCCAGTGCAATGTTGCTGTCTTCAAGGAGTTAAGTTCCAGAAATTGAAGCTATCATGACTGTTTGAAAGGAAATAAATCAACCTAACAGTTCTTTTTTTTCTTTTTAAAAATCATACCTTAAAAATACTATAATTAATCTTCAGCAGTATGAACCCCTAAAACGGGGAAATTGTTTTAAGATATCACATAAGAAATACCATGATCTCATTCCTGTTACTCTGTTATGTAATCAATGTGTTACTATGCCTTGGCTGTACAGTCATTTACAGTCAAAGTTATCGGCAAATTGCTGGTCCTTTTTGTAAAATTATTTCAGGGAAAATAATTCAGCCCTGAAGTCAACCAAAATACTGTCTACAAGCAGAGAATAAGAACAAAATGATAGTTTATCAACTACTTAAGTGCTTTAACCTAGAGAAAATCAGAGAGAACCACAATAGAGTATCAACACTAATCACAAATTCCCCTTAACATAAAATAAGGATTTAAATGATATAATCTTTATTTAGAAAAAAGTTTCCCCTAGGATCATTATGGTTAATAAAGATACCATCAGAACTGTATAATCTTAAGATACTACATAAAACTAGTTTTTAAACTGCTGATTTTATTAGTCTAGCAGTATGAAGGACAGTAAATCAATGAATAATGAAAAATATCTTACCTTTTTGTCTCTGGGATGCCTCAAACCCCAAGTGAGCCAGTAAAATTGACTTTTGTACTTGACTTCAGTCTTTGGCTCAAGGATCATACTTTGTATCCTTGCCACTGGGTAGAAAGGAAACTCACTCCCCCACCAGAGACTACAGCAAAGCAAGAGAAGAATAAAAGAATAAATACTGAGAAGCAACTTTTTATCTGTGCCTTATTTTATCTTCATCTCTCTTCCTCTTAACTGATCCTCTCTATTCCTACTCTACAGAGAAGCTCAGGTCCCCCATTAGTCAGAGTGTTTTCAGGGCCTTGATCAACAAATATTTGATCAAGTATTGGTGATACAATAAAGCACACAGCCTTGTAGAAGAAAATACTTAAATGTTAAAAAAAAAAAAAAATCAGGTGCACCTGGGTGGCTCAGTGGATTAACCCTGCCTTCAGCTCCAGTCATGGTCTCGGGGTATAGGGATCAAGCCCTGCATCAGGCTCTCTGCTTAGCAAGGAACCAGTTTCCTTCTCTCCCTCTGCCTGCCTCTCTGCCTACTTGTGATCTCTCTCTCTGTGTCAAATAAATTCAAAATTTTTTTAAAAAATCAGAGTTCAGAGGTCACAAGTGCCAAATATCATGGAGAAACATGTATCAAGTGCAAATAATTAATCTCAAAGTTTCCAGGTAAAATCACAAGCAGCCAGAACTGCCAAGGACAGATAAAGCCTGGGGGTAGTGTGAACAAGCTGTGCAGGAGGACAGACCCAGAGCCTTCCACAGAGACCTAGTAGAGTCTCTACTTAGTAGAGTCTCTGGTTAGAGGAGGTGATTTGAGGACACTACAGGAATGAGTTTGAATGGGTGGCTTAATCGAAGAGTTGGATACTAAGCTAAAGAGTTCAAATAATTTTTTGAAGGGGTAAAAATTATTATTTTTATTAAATCTCAACTCTTTTAATTAATGTACAGTCATATTAGTTTTAGGTGTACAAT